CATAGCTCAATGTCTTACTCACATGTCTGTGGTATTGCTGGTGTAATCACACCATCTGCACTACCAGTTATATAAAATTATAGCACATACAATTATACACACCACGTGACAGTTGGTACTAAGTGACTATGTGAATGGTGCATTTACTATACTACACTTTTATTACAATTTTAGAATTATTTCTTCTACCAATAAAAAAGTTACCCTGTTAACGCTGGCAGCAACCTCATACAGCTTGTGTTCAGCATGGTTCCTGATGGCATTAAAGGGTCAGGTCACTTGATTCACCTACACTACCTAGGCTTGCGTAAGTGCACTCTGTGATGTTCCCACAATGACGAAACTGCCCGGCGATGAATTTCCCCAACATTGAGTAAAGCCTGACTGTCCTTAGATACACGGGGCTGCCCCCCACCCCCCATGAGCATGTCCACAGACAAGATCCATGTGATTATAAATCTCCCCAGGAATAAAGACTCTCAGAGATTGGGTACGTGTAAGAACTTCCTCCTTTGGACTCAGGATGGGAAACAGTTTAATTTATGGCAGCACTTCTAATCTTATTTTCTCTCAACTTGCTGAGTAAATTTAGCCATTTCTCTGCCTGAAAATTGGACATTCTTATCCTACTCAAAGCCTGAGGTTTATAGAAGTCCGGGGAGTCCTCAGCATCAAGCAGTAGCCAGAGAGCCACGAGGTGTCAAGCTGGCCAGCCTCCTACACAATGCAATTTCCATGTGCACTTATTTAAAAGGTGAGCTCAGAATATTTTGTTCAGCCAAAAGCAAGAAAGTGCTCAAAATCTAATGAGCTTACATCAAAAAGACCTGTGATCCAGCTTTAAGAGGCTCTGATGACTGAATTTGAGTTATTAAGAGCAGTGAAATGAAATGACATGGATTAATTAAAACACATTAAATAAAATACACATATTTGAATACACTGACATGTATATCTATGTATTCAAGTAAAAATAAGCCACGAGTTCACACTGATACTAAATTATTTCAAAGGGAGTGAGAAGATAACACTTTTTATAAAACCTTGATAAATAATATAAATAAGAGAAGTGATAGAAAATCTCCACATGATAAACAACATGAAAGAACTGATTCATCTAAGATTCACCCACGGATTCTAAGCCGCTGGATGGGAAATTCCTGGGGAGGACCAAACTCACCCCACACATCCTCACTCGTCAATCACAAAGGCAAGGAGATCTGCTGGGGCATGGAGCCATGATCCCAGCACTGTACACTGAGAGGCTAAAGCGGAAGGGTGCCAAGTTCCAGCCTAGTCCGAGTGACGTGGTGGGACCCTTCCTCAAAATACAAAGGAACCAATCATAATAAAAAGGGCTGAGGACGTAGGTCAATGCAAATTCTCGGGCTTGAGTTCAACAAGCAAAGGAAGGGAGGGAGAGAGGGAAGGAGGGAGATAGGGAAGGAGGGAAGGGAAAGCATAGAGAGGGAGGGGAAAGAAGGAGGGGGAGAGTGAGGAGGAGGAGGGGAGAAGAAGGAGGAGGAGGAGGAGGAGGAGGAGGAGGAGGAGGAGGAGCAAGATCAAGCCTAAGGTGCTGCTGATGAAGACATTTAGTGGGCGTCACCTCAGCCAGGTGACCAAACTTAACATTTTCACTGGGGCAAACTGATGCCAGCTGCCTTCTGACATGAAGGAGGAAGTGCACACATTGATATCATATTAAAAAACACTTAGTGTGTGTCTCATCAACAGGGTACAGACAGACAAGTTCACACTAGGAAAAGGCTTGTAAAGGACTGTAAAGATCCACGACATCTAAATGTAGTGTGTGGTCCTTGACTGGATCCTCTATCAGATAACAACCAAATGTCCATAAAGGACATTGATTGGGTCAGATGAGTGGCCAGTGGAACAAACGGAGAGGTTTGAATATGGACTGCCTGTTAGGTAGCAGTACTGGATCAATGCATGTAAAAACCACGTTGGTTCTGGGGGAGAAGGCCCTGTCCTGAGAACACAGCAATCAGAAATGAGGAGACATGGTGTCTACAACAAGTTCTTAAACCGATGAGCAAAAGTAGTGTGTGCATCTGTGTAGATCTACTACGTTTCTAAAATTTGACAATTTTCAGAATGGAAAGTAAGAAAGAAAGACAGAGAGAGGGAAGGAGGGAGGGAGGAAGAGCCTGCTATGGGCGAGGCCTTCCTTGAGGATGGGAGTGGTGCAGTAGAGGTTTTATCTGCCTGCCCCCTTCCCCTTTCTCCTGCCAAGAACCTTCTCTTTCCTACTCCATCACGTGGCTGTGGTGCAGGCAATGCCTGTGTCCTGGGGTGGACACATGGTGCTGACCAGCTGCTGCCCACTGTGATTGGTCTGAGATGATCTGAGCTGAGCCAATCAGGATCCTTCCATGGGTCTTTCTAAGTGAAACTTCCAGGGAAATTCTTTCTAGTCTGAAATCAGTAGCCATAGTCTTTGACTCCTGAACTCAGGGTCATTCACCACAGGAGAACAGAGTCTGAACCTAGAGGTGAGAACAGCTGCATAGCCTGGAAGGAAGAGGGCTTGGCAGTGTTAAGTTTTAGAATCCCAGGCTTGAGGTCTCTGGAACCACCAAGGTTGAGGAGGCTCTGACTTCAGCCCTCTGGTTTATTTACAGGGATTAGAAGGCAAGATGTAATGGAACATCTTAGGGACAATCACAAAGCACAGAGAGGGAAAAATGGAGAGAGAGAGACAGAGAGACAGAGAGGGACAGAGACAGAGAGACAGAGACAGAGAGAGGAGAAGGGAAGGGAAGGGAAGGGAAGGGAAGGGAAGGGAAGGGAAGGGAAGGGAAGGGAAGGATTCAGATAGGACAGGTTTCCTGTAATAGGACAGGTTTCCTGAAGAAGGCATTTGGGCTGAGCTCTGTGGGACAGAAAGTTCTGAAAGGGGTCCATGGGAAGCCACCACAGCTTGCTTATTGGGCATGTGCTACCCTGTATGGGAGTGGTGGGAGGTAAGAAGTTGTCATCAGGAGCAAGAACAAAGAGTCCCGAGGCCACACTGAGGGGTTCAGCCTCCACCTCGTGGGCACAGCAAGTTTTTGATTAGAGGCACGTGCTGACCAGCTCGCGTTCAGGCGGATGATTGCCTCCCGCCATTGCAGCACAGGCTCCCGTGGCGAGGAGGCAAAGGATGAGCTTCCCAAGTGGAGGCTCATTCATTTCCCCTGAATGATTTCCACCCAATGCAGCTATAAAAGGAAATATTTGCATTCTCCCCACTGCTTTGTTTTCTAGAATTTGCAGAGCACAGTTAGCAGAAAGATTGCTCAGGATACACATTAAGGAAGCGATTGCAGCAATCCTTCCTCCGTGAAAGGCAGGGCGGCGGATGGAAGGGACAGCTAGCTCTGGAGTTGGCCCACCAGTCTGACCTGGTGAATTCTTGAACTTCTCCAAGTTTCATTTGCTCATCTGTAAAATGGGGGAACTGACTGTGCCTCCTCACAGGATGGTTGGCAGGATTCGATGTCCTAAGCACAGAGCACACATGATGCTGATCTTACAAATGGTGTTCACTGACGATGATTATTATGATCATTACCATTATCAACAGTTGAATCCTGACCACTTACTCCAGCAACAATAACTGTTTTCAAAAGCTGCCTCTTCTACTGGTGAGGTGAGCTGGACTCTGCTTCTGTGTGGTGCCCACCCTTGTGCCCAGGCAGTGCAGGCCACCAAATGATCAGCTCTGAGCTGATGTGAACTGATTCTCCTCCTGGACCCTGCTCCAGCTTCCTCCTGGAAGTCAAGGGCAGGCTGGGAGGCTCTGGCCTCACTTCTCCTCATGTTAGGCCATCATCCAGCTCTTGGTATCCCATTAAAGCATGTCCCCCAGCCAAAAGGGATGCAGAGGCTCTTCAGGATGCCAGGCAGTGGTCAGGAGCAGCTCCAGACCCTTAGCTGAAGACTTTCTCAGGGGCTGCTCTAGGAGCCACCTCTTTGGTTTACTCACAGGAGACTCAGGTGCAGAGAAGCCAATATGGAGGACCCTGTTTCTGGGTTCAGGTTATCTTCATGCAGGAAGGGAAGTTGCTAAATCCTGCCCCAGCCTGGCCTGCTCCTGCTTAGCCCATGAGACCACCCTACACCAGATGACTGAGCCTAGAGTTAGGCCAGAAGGAACCTGGAGGCTCAGGTCACCCCAAAATCTGGCCTCCCTGCTTCCTAAAGGAAAGGATGGTTGTCTGGGAAGGACAGATCTTCAAGCAATTAAACCCTTCCTCTCATCTGCATTCCTGTCCCTGGTGGCAGATTTGTATCAACATCCCCAGGGCAAGACAATCTTGTTTCCCCAACAAAACCGATTATGCACATCAGGCCTGGGGATTAATCACCAGCCACGGGGTTGAGAGCCAATAAAAAAAGGCAGAGATGGGAGGATAAGAGTTGGGGGGAGGGAGCGCAGGGCCAGGAGGAGGCTGGTGGCCAGGCAGGGCTGGGGAGTAGCATGCTTGGCTCACATTACTAGCAGCAAACCTGCTAAGACCCTGCTTCCACTCCCCATCTTTCTCCCGACTTGGCCATGCCCTGGGGAGGGAAGGACCAGTCAAGCCCGGGAGGCGGGAGCCTGGGTACAAATATACCCTGGGGTTGTGGGGGGGACAATCTCCATGTCCCACCTGAATGGTCCCCCGAATAGAAGATGGGTCCTCCCTGTTAACCCCAGGCTGCTGTGTGGCCCACTCTTCCCATGGTATACAGGTCTCTCTCACAGAGCCCCCTGAGATAGCAGGGTTCTTCTCAGGAGTAAATGAGGAAGGCACTCTGGCCACAGCTGTAGCAGCTGATAGCCCCTTCGTCTACTATTGTATGGGGAGTCCCCAGGCCCACCAGACAGCCATCCTCTGCTGGGGTGAGCAGAGTGGGCTGTGTTATCACTGCTGTGCAGGATCACAGGCTGGGGAGCCTGTGGCCACACCCACAGCCCCATTTCCCCATCAGGACGGGGAAGTGACGCAACTTGCCTGTACTCCAGGGAGAACTTGGTCAGCTCGCGGTTGTTGTGGAGCCACTTGAACTCCAGTGGCCAGCTACCCTCAGCCATGCACGTGAGCACCAGGCGGTTTCCTTCCAGGTGCACCTGTGTCCGCACAGGCTCCGTCTTGAAATATGGGGACACGTCATCTACAGGAAACAAGGATAGGACGCCACTGGTTAGCACCTACTCAGCGATACGCATTGGCTAGGACGGATGGGGCAGGGTGCAGCCAGGTAACCTCCCAAGGTGGGGAAGGACTTAAAGTCAGGTCACTACAATTCGAAGACTTGTCTTCAGGAGAGTCCTACTCACCTACCACCCAGACCCCTGCCTCCTCTGCCGCACATACCCCAGTTCACTGCCTCTGCTGCCGCCCCATAAACATCACCCAGAGAACAAAGTAGTGGTTCACACAGCTGCATGTGACAGCAGGTCCCTGTCCTGCTCCCCAAGCCTAGGGAAATCAATGCTCAGAGGCAGGATGAGGAGGATGAGGAGGATGAGGAGGATGAGGAGGGCAGAATCTGCTCAGTGGGTTTTTCCACCATCAGGCTGCTTGCTCCTGCCAACTAGGACTCTAGCCAGCCTGCCTTGGTCTCCCCATCCATATCAGGACAGCTGTCTGGGGACAAGAAGTGCTGCTGTTTGGGCTGTGGGCATGGCTCTGAGTGGCTGCTGCACTTCTGTAGAGTCCTCTGAACCCACCGAGCTGGCACGTCATGAGTCCCATGGCCCCTCAACACAGACAACATACTGGGGTCATGGACTTTGAGGGGCCACTCTCATTAACAGCTTCGGGTGGAAGAGGAGCCTTCCGCCCCTCTGACTGGGAGGAGAGAGGACAGAAGTGAAAGTAGATGATGGGGATAAAGGAATGGTGAGGAGGGGAGGAAGGAGGAAAAGAGCTCTGAGCTCTATACTGAGACACTGCCTTCCCCAGGTGGGCCCGGCTGGGGACAGGAACCAGCATCTGATGATGATGTCAACAAAGACTATGGCATTGGCTGAGTCCTGACTGATCAGAAGCTCTAACATATGCTCATTTTACCCCAGGGCAACCCTGACTCAAGGGATGATAACCCATATTTTAGAGAGGGCACAGGGAAGCCCTACCCACAGTCACACAGCTAGACGGAGGAGGAGAGCCCTGAGCACTTGACTGGCTCCTTTTTCAGATGAGCTGGGTTAGGGAGGGGTGGGAGAATAAAGACAAGGCCAGAAGCCAGAGGCAGAGTCTGGTGCCCTGCACCTCGTGTCTCATGGCTTGCGGAAGTGTGGTACAGAAGGCACCACCCAACAGCTCTTCCAGTGATCACCCACTGTGTACTGAGGACCTGCCATGTGTGGCTAAGTGGCAGACTGGAGGTCTGGTCCCGGCTTCCCAGATCACGTGCAAATGCCCTCTGCAGATCTCCATTCACAGAGGCCGTAGGGACCCTGACCTCCAGGCCACTGGCGGGGGGGTCCAGCATCCACGGCTCCATCTGTTTATCCACGCCTTCCCAGGTGCGTGCATGTGTGGTGGTGAAGATTTGCTCTACTGAGTCTCAGTCTCTCCACCAGTGGACATGGAGGGGAAGTAGCTTCAGGATGGACTCAATGAGCTTAAGGGCTAAAATGCTGCTCCTGGGCCTGCCCTGGCATGATGTTCTGCAAATAGTCAGTTTGTCTCTGAGACTACCCTGTGGGGGTCCACGGCTGGAAGGGATCCTTCACCCTCTATCAGCTTCCCTGCTGGCCAAGACCCCAGCTGTGCTCCATCGGTTACCATCGCCTGGGAGCCCACCTGACAGTCTTCTTTTGGACTAAGAAAGGGAACTAGAGAAAGAGGTGGACGGGCATCAGGGTGAAGAAGTGGGGCTCTCTTGTCTCTTGGCTAAGCCCAGGAGCCCTGCACCCTGTTTTCCTGTCATCCTTGGCTCTAAGAAGCAGAGAGCATCTGTGATCAAGTTCAGTCTGTTTCCAGGTCTCATTTGGTTGAAGCACGGATTTATAAAAAAAGTCCCAATGTGGTTTGAGGGCCCGGGCCACTAACCCTGGGTCATGACACCCCAAACCTTGGTTCTAAGGCTCAGTCATGTGACTGCCTAGCTGGAACTTTTTGAGGGCTCTTCCTTGAACCGCCATACCTATTACCGAGCCCAAGCCTGAGGTGGTTCAGTGAGGGCGAGCAGGCCAAGGCTCCCTGTCCTGCTGCCCTCGGCGTCCCCGTGGGACAGATGTCTGCCGAGTTGCACACTTATCACTGCTTGCTCATGTGGATCCCTCCACTGCTCTTAACAACTGTCTCGTGAACAGATTGTCTTAAAGAACAGTTGGGAATGACCCTGTTTAGAGTGTGGGCCAGAGGAGTGACCACCACCTGCTGCTTCTGTGTCTCTAGGTCCTGGTGCCCGGCTTTGGAGGCCGCGGGAACCGTTTACCAAGGAAAGTGACTTCCTCACCCCCCTCAAGGCAGCCGGCTCTGCTCTCAGTGTAACAAATGGGCACATTCTCACTTCAAAGGCGCATTCATATTCTCCAGCAGCTTTCAGGAGCCCTTTGAATCGAGTTCTTAAAAACCCTCTGTTCGCGGTTGTCATCCCTCGTTTGTTTTAAAACAATAACATTCCCAGCCCCTGAGTGATTAAATCCCTTCCTTCCGTATAAGGCTGACTCAGAGTCCAACTGTCAGATACACACGGGTGCACACACACACACACACACACACACACACACACACACGTTCTGTGCCCAGACATCCTTGGCACTGTGAGCCTGCTCACGGCAGTTTGCTCCCAGGTCTGCATTTGCTGGCTGGTTCATACACATGCCTGGAGGTGGGGCAGTCTGGAAGAATGACTTGTGTCTGGATGGGCTGATTCCTGCAGCGCTGGAGATAATGACTCCATGGAAAAAGAGGGGAGGGAGACCTAGTTGGTACCAGACTCCTTGCTGTGTTCCCTACTTCTCTCCCCTCCCCTCATCCCCCAGGCAGCACAAAAGAGAGTGAGGTTCCTCTCCCTAATCCCCAGAGGAGAGATCATCCCCTCCTGTAATGCCCTCTGCCCACTGGATACAGGGATTACATAGGAGGATAGAGCTGTGTGATGTGGGAGGGCCACAGGAGGACAGTGGGGATAACAGTGTGTGTGTGTGTGGTCTGTTGTCTGTATCCATGTGTGTATCTGTGACTGTTGCTGCGTGCACCTCTGCACATCTGTGTCTGTTGGTGAATGCCAGTGTTGCACACATGCAGGATGGTACAAATCACGGATCTTGGAAAAGTTCTTTGACCTCTGCACTCGCTTCCTTAGCTGTAAGATGGGGATATCTTTGCTAGAAGATTGCACAAATTAATAAAGGGCTTAGAGCAGAGTCTGGCACATGCTAAAGAAGGGGTGGCTACTATGACTATTGTTCATAAATGCATATGGACAGATTGCTCTGAAGAGATCATATCCTGTCAGCTGGGACTGCCACCTCAGTTCAGTCTCTGTACTAGGATGGTGTAGTACATATATGTGCAACTGTACACACCAGCTCCGTCAGCCACTGTCACAGTTTAGAACAAAAATGTTTCCAAGAGGCTCAGGATTTTACAGGTGGGGGTACTGGAAGGTGAAGAAATCACGGGGACACCAAGCTCATCAGTGTATGAATCCATTGGTGTCTTCATAGTTATGTGTGCTGTCAGGCCAGGGCCTGGTTAGCAGAAGTAGCTCACCAGGGGCACCACCTAGAAGGTACATTATTGTCCCCAGCCCCTTCCTTTCTCACTCTCTGGCACTCTCCCTTCTTGGTCTCCTTCCTGGTCATTCTGAAGTGAGTAGCTTTCTCCTTTCAGGCCCTTCCAGGATGCTGTTTCTGCCTTGGAGCCAGCTGACCATAGGCTGAAGCCTCAGAACCATGGCCAAAGTTCACATTTTCTCCTGGAACTCTGCATCAGGGCTGACCAATATGGCTACCCTCACCCTGTCAGTGGGAAGGGGGGAACTGTGGATGGAGTGCTTCAATATAGAAAGATAGCATTCTCTTAAACTTCTCCTTATTTTGAAAACACATAGTTTTTTTTTTAACTAGACAAACTGATTAAAAAGTTTACATAATAAAAGCACAGAAAGATAATCAAGAAAATTTTGTAAATGAATAGTCATGGTGGGAGGCTAGGAAATGCATTATAAAGCTGCAATAATTAAAACAATGTGGTCTTTATGAATAGACTAACTACAGAACTGTCTATTAGGTTAGAAATAGACTTGAATACATAGGGGGGACTTTTAATACATTAAGAAAATGGAATTTCATGTCAGTGGGGAAAAGATCAATTATTCAACGAATGGTTTTGGAACAGCCAGGAGCCATTTGGGAAAAAAAAATAAGTTGAATCTCTTCCTCACACTTTACCTCAAAATAAATGCTAGAGGGATCAGTGTTTTAAACATGAAAATGAAATTCTAAAAAAACTGGGAAAAAAATCAGAGAAACTTAAAAATATATGATCCTGGCAGGGTAGAATACTTGCCAAGTACTTTCTAAGTATTACATGAGCTACAGACGGGTGAGAGACAGAGTGATATCTTCAACGATGAGAAAATTCTGTATGGGTAGAAGAAAACTCATAAACAAAAAGAAGGGACATGTGACAAACTGGGGGCAGGATATCTGCAACTCTTATCATGGGCAAAGAGCTGATTTTCATGATGTAAAAATGTTCCCACAAATCAATAAGGAAAAGATGAAAGAACCAATAGAAAAATGGGCAAAGGATGTGAACGGTTCAGAGAAGAGAATCACAGATGCCTGTGGAACACATGCAGAGATACTCAGGCTCAGGATAAGGGAAGCTCAGGAAGATAACATTTGTTTTTGCTTCTTACTTCAGCCAAGAGGTAGAAGTGTGATACGAAGGCTGGCCGCCTGCAGAGACAGGCACGCTGGCACACAGCCTCTGGGATGGCAGCTTGGTATGTCATCCACAGAGGGCAATTTGGTGATTCCATCAAAGCCCAAAGTGCACCCACCGCCTGACCAGCTCCGCAAGGCAGTCCCCCTCATAGGTGCACGTAGGGAATGGCAGCACTTTTGAGCTCGTGGATGTGACAGCAGGAGTTTAAAGACTACCTTGAATGTCTTTCAAGAGGGCACTGGTTAAGGAATCAAATGT